ATCATGAAGCCAATGGACAGGCTGAAGTGATGAACCAGATTCTGTTCCAGCTGCTGTGGCCTGCGATTACACCTGATCAACAAGAATGGGATAAACATTTGTCCAAGGCTCAACTGATTTATAATACCTCTATCCATTTCTCTCCTGGATTCAGCCCTTACAGGCTCCATTTGGGAAGAGATTCTGGTCTCATCGACAAGGCTAAACCCAAATTTACTCCTAGCACTACAGTTTGTCAAGAGTTACGAAAGGGACTTTAGAGAAGGCAAGGAGCAACATGTTCAGAGCACAAAAATGAACGATTAAACAAGCTAACAAACACAAATTGCCTTTCCCCATTCGTCACGACATTGGGTCTGGGTCAAAAATCTGAGTTTTTCGAAGAAGATATCTCAACACAATTGTTGCCCTTGTACTCTGGTACATGCCAGGTTCTAGATACAATGCGAGCTGATCCCTTCGGTCCTTCCTAAGTGTTGGATGTACCGCCTCATCTCATATCCTACCCCGTCTTCCATGCATTGAAGTTGTTACCTTTCACACCTTCTGATGCATTCGCAGACAGGGCCCCTCAATTCGGCAAACCTATCCCAGAAAGGGGTATGACGTCGAGAAGATTGAGGATCAGTGGGGCACTAGTCCCAACTGTGAGAAGTTTCTCTTCCAGCCTTACACTAAGAACAGATGGTTCACATAGAAGGAACTTCTCAAGACAGCCAAGTTCGTTGTTTTGGCACATGAGGCGGGACAGAAAGGGTCATTGCCCCACTGTTCACCTTGTGGCCATTCCTAGCTCAGAGGTCCTCGTTCCTGAGGACGGCAGGGATACAATGCACTTGCAGCTTGCAGTTTTTCAGTGGGCTGTAACATTAACCAGGTCATTTTTGTAATCTTTCTAAGTTCTGGGCCCAAACCGATAACTGGAAACAGTTCTAGTCTGACAGGGACAACTCTGCAAATTCCTAAAAACCGGTACTACTGGTCCTAAATTCCATCCAGGCCTGAGTTGACCTTTCGCTACTCCAAGGGGCTGCTGACACTTTGCTACTGCAATGAACTTAGAGGTCCGGTCCAGTAGGTCTGTCCAGTACTATAAATAGAGTCAGTTCGTAGAGGTAGAGGTCTTTGACCTGTTGGTCTGCAGTGGGTGATACGCTGCTTGACGATTGTTGTTGATAGGCTGCTCAGAGATTGTTGTTCAATCGCTGCTCGAAGATTGTTGTTGATACGCTGCTTGAAGGTTGTTATTGACGCCGCCAGGCTGCTGAAGCAGTGCCATAGCTGGAGGCAACTGCTCGAGGTCTCTCTGCAGCACTGAAGCCTGTGCTTCATGCGCTGGTCCTGCTGACACGATGTGCTCTTGGGGTTAGGCACTGCCATATCTTTTCTTCTTGGCAGCTGTTTCTTCTTCTTCTTCAAGCTGGAGGTCACTTCTTCCTGGGGCTGCGCTGGTGTATCTGTGTGATCCTGGTGAGGCGCTGGTGCAGGAAAGGTTGCTGGGAGGTGGCACTGTGTTCTGCAGGCCCTGGGAGCTAGGTGCCAGGTCTTTGTGTGGGCACCATAGCCAGGAGTGACTACGAGGTGGATGGAGGAAGGAGGAAGTCTCCTAGCCCATGTTTGAGTCTGTTTGGGATTGTTTCCACTTGGTTGAGATTCTTGGGAATTTTGTGCAGTTAATTGAACTGGAGAGTGAAGAGGGACAGTGAACTGAGTTTCATTTCAATTCTATTTGAATCTTGTGCTTCTTCTGTGCACCTTCAGTCTGGTTTTGTGTGGATTGTCCTCTCCAAGTCTTCTTTGTCATCTCGCGTGTATCAGAACAAGCTGATGCTTTGTTCGATGGGATTTCAATCAGTGACATAACAGCCTTGCCCTTCTGCTGCGTGCCTCTCTCTTCTCCAACGAGAGCCATCTCCAATACTACTGAAAAGGTTCAGCTTGCTCAGACCAAGATCTTGCTCTCCCACCTTTGTTTCGTTAAAGTTTATTCATGCATCCCACTCGAGATCCACACCACGCAGAAAGATTAACTCAGTACTCGGAGCTGTGTCCTCAAGGTTGCAGCTATGGCTGCCCAATACCAACAACAACTCTGTTCCCTGAGGCTCAGCAGAACAGTGTCCAGCAAAGTACAGGTTTGGCAAAAGGGGTGAAAAAAGTCATGGTAACTGTCTGGACATCAGGACCGGGTTCCATACAGTCCGGTGTCCGGTGTCCGGTGTCCGGTCCTTATGTCCGCATGGAGGCCCCTGGGGCAAAAATCAAAAAAAAAAACGAGGCGGCCCAGGACGTTTATTGGGTCCTGGCCGCCCCTCGAAAAATAACGGGGTGATTTTTCAGTGTTGTTTCACCCCACCGGACAGGGTCTAGACGTCCGGACACAAGACACTGCAGGTTTTTGGGGTGGCGGGCTTCACACAGGCCCGAGCAATTTCAAAGCGGCCATTTCGACGCGGTGCCCGCCACTCCTGCCCGTTGGAGAGAGAGAGAGAGAGAGAGAGAGAGAGAGAGAGAGAGAGAGAGAGAGAGAGAGAGAGAGAGCACTGASAGTGCTGCCAGTCTGAAGACTCTGACGTCCTGAATTGAACTGCAAAGTTCGAAGTTCGAACTTTTAAGTTCTATATGAAGTTATGAACTTAAATTACTAAATCCAAAGTTCAAAGTTAATCATACTTTTTTCAAAAAAAAAATATCTGTTTCTTTAGTCTTGTGCGGAAGTTGTGCCTGCTTTGCACTGTTTGCAACTCTGCATGTGTGGCATACTGCGTAGCCACACGGGCCCTGCAGGGCCCGTCCCGGACATTCAGCCTAAAAGCCTAAAACTTAGGGCTTACAGGCCCCGGTCGCTTCAGCCTGAAAGCTGAAAAACGAGGGCCTGCAGGCCCTACTCCGTTTCAGCCTATTTCTGGGTCTTTCAGACCCAGAGGTTTTCCAGCCTGAAACGGAGGGCCTTTTTCAGGCCCTCATTGTTTCGACCACCCCTAAGACTCAGGCACGGAACAGGCCAGAAATAGCCTGTTCCTCACGAGCTTGAGCAGGAGCTGCACCTGCAGCCCCTGCCTCCCTTCGGCATTGGCAAGAGCAGCCTCCTGGACTGCTCGCACGAGTCAGGAGGCACACCCGGTAGTACATAGGAAGTTCCCATGCACTTCACAGGTAGGTAGTAGTCAGTAGGCACGAGTAGTCTTCAGGATTCGGCCGCAGCACTCAGGAGGAGCGCTGCAGTAGTCTTCAGCGCTAGGCTGTAGTTAGCGCTAGCTGTAGTCTTCGGCGCTGGGCGCCCATAGCCATAGAGTGGCCTTAAGCGCTGGGCGCTGGTAGGTGGTAGATCGTAGAGTTGGGAGAGATACTGGCGGAGGCCAGTGGTACTTACCTGTGGCGCCATCGCTCCAGCTCCATCTTCGAGGTACCTGCATCAAGGCGCCAATGGTACTTACCTGTGGCGCCATCGCTCCAGCTCCATCTTCGAGGTACCTGCATCAAGGCGCCAACTTCACAGGTTAGTACTGGACACAGAGAGAGAGAGAGAGTTCTTCTTCTTCCTCTTCTAAGTCCACCATCTCTTCTCACCCTCTCGCCACCTGATTTCTCAGACTACGACAGAGAGAGAAAGAGTTGTGACTTGAGACTTGACGACATTGGATCCAGACTGGACATTGGGATTCAGACATTTCGACGAGGGACTATTTGGGCCTGTACCGAGACTTGGTGTTGACGACATTCCCATCTTCCCCTCCTCTTTCGTCTAACCCCTCCTTCTTCGTCTGTGTATGGTTGGGGCTGGCGCAGTCTTCTTGTGTGAAGCGCCAGACCCCCTTCACACCAGATAACGATGATGATGATGTGTGTTCAGAGCTGCATTGCAATAGTGATTGTTCGGATCATTCGTATCTAAGTCTTCCGCTGTGTTATCGTGTACTTTGTATTGAGAGGTCGGTTCTTGTTCTGGTCTGCACGTTACAGTATGCAACAGTTTGGTATCGGAGCGGACCTCTCATTCAGAGGACCCGCTCAATCAAGTAGCCAGCTTGCTGATCTAGTGATCACTCATTAGTAACGCGAGTAGGACTTAGTCAAATCTCTGAAAAAAAATTCTCGCAACAACTATCTGAAAATTTCTGATATTCGCATTTCGTTTTACCTGAAAATTTCTGATATTCGCATTTCGTTTTACCTGAAAATTTATGATATTAGTAGTTCGTTTTTACGTAACAAATATCTGAAAATCTCTGATAAATCGCATTTCGTTTTGTCTGAAAATTCCCGATAGTAGCTTTTCGTTTCTCTGATATTTCGCATACATAGCTGAAATTTCTGAAGTTAGTATTTCGTTCTCTAGGTATATTGGGATAACGATAGAAGTGGTCATATTCTCGGAAACTGGAATTATTCTTTTCTGAAAATCGCATTTCCATTCTATCTCGCAATTTTTTTTTGAAAACCGAATCTTGCGAAGCCTACCAATATTGCGTTAGGCATATTCGGAGGTTGCTATATTCTCAGAAACTGGATTTCGTTCTTTTCTGAAAATCGCATCTTTACTCCATTTCGCAAAAAAAAAAATTCAAGATCTCAGTTTGTAAAAGCCAAAACTTTGCGGAACCTAGCCTAGATCTCGTTCATACTACTCTTCTGACATGTCTCACTCATAATAGATCGACAGATATACAAAAAAAAAAAAAAAAAAAAAAATTTTTTTTTCTTTTTTTTTTTTTATTTTATTTTATCTGTTGATTAGGGCCGGAGGAAAGCATTGTTGGGTTGTTTGCCTACCTGCGTTTTCCCTCCCATCCACCCCTTTGCATGCATTTCCGGGTTGGTACAGTGCCACGTCAGACACAGTGACACGTCAGCAGTGCCACGTCAGACAGTGCCACGTAAGCAGTGCCACATCAGACACAGTGCCACGTAAGCAGTGCCACATCAGACACAGTGCCACGTCAGCAGTGCCACGTCAGACACAGTGCCACGTAAGCAGTGCCACGTCAGACACAGTGCCACGTAAGCAGTGCCACGTCAGCAGTGCCACGTCAGACACAGTGCCACGTCAGCAGTGCCACGTCAGCAACATGACGGGCCTGCCAGGCCAACTGGCCAATGAGCCCATTGCCGACTACAAAAAGTGCTTCCAGGCTCAGCTCGCTGTAATCGAGGCTGAGGAACAATGCCAGCTGGCAGCCAAGGCTGCCCAGCTACAGGCTGATGAAGCGGCAGCAGCAGAGAAGCTCCGGCTACAGGCCGAAGCAGACGCAGAGGCCCAGGCTTGCCGCAAGGAAGCCCAGGATCTGCTGCAGCGGCATGAGGCAGCCAGCGTTGACAGACTCAAATTCTGGCACTTTGAACCCAACGGCGACGACGCGACACCGGAAAAGCAGCATAAGGAGTTTCTCTCCAAACTCGTGACACGGCTGTTGTACACTTGCAACTACCAACAGTCCGAGTTGGAGAAACAGTACCAGGACCTGACGCAACAGCATCAGGAGTTGGCGAAGCTCCGCCGGACGGTGCAGAGCCACGAGGATGCAACTCGGGCACTCAATGCCCGAATGCTGGACCTGGAACAGGCTGTACCAGGACCAGCTGCTGGGGCTTCCAGCAGTGCATCTTCTAGCCGCCAACTGGAGGAACGCGTTGACCACATAGTGGCAATGCTCGGCGACATCAGCACCTTCGCTGCGCCGACCACCATCAGCAATCAGCTGCATACCTTGACGACCGAGTTCCAGCAGCTGCAGTCGACGAACGCAGATGGCAATCCGAAGTTGTACAAAATGCCAACTTTCCAACCGGACAGGTGCGACGACTACACGCAGCAAGATCCAGTCCTCTGGTGGGAAGCATTCACAACGCAACTCAGGATTCTGTCGGTCGCCAAGCACGAGTACATCGGCGCCCTGTTCATGAACTCAAAGGGCGGATGCCAGACCTGGTTGACCCACCTGGCAACCTCCCACGGCGTCAACGTACCAGACTTGAAGGACAAAATCACATGGGAGGAACTGACACGGCTGTGGAAGAAGCGGTTCATCGTCGACGACGCGCCAGCACTCGCCATCAACCGTCTGTTCACCATGTCACAGGGCAACACCGCAACACGGGATTGGCTCACGGAGTGGCAGAAGATTGCGGCAGTGCCCAATCTAGACTTGCCATTCATGCATTTACACCGTGAGTTCTACAACAGGTCCTGTGCTGCATTGAGCCAGGCTCTTGGTAATCGCGAGCAGTACTCAACCTTCGTTGAGATCATTGACAAGGCGAGGGAAATCATCAAGACCAACAGGTCAGCTGCACACGAGAAGTCAACATGGCAGCCGACCTATGTGGAGAAGGTACGAACTGGTCCGCGACAGCAGCACTTCGCTGCAGTCCAGTCAGACAGTGGAGATAACCTAGCAGCCACTCCAGCATCAAGTGACGGAGATCAGGTGGCTGCTGTCCAGCCGCGAAGCAACAACAAGTCCGACAATAATGGGAAGGCGAAATCCGCATCGCAGGCCGAAAATGGACAGCCAGTACAAGTTCCATGGGTCAAGTTCGGCTTGACCGAGGTGGAGTACAAGGTCCACGGCCGCTACGGCAGCTGCTATTGGTGCAACAGCACCAAGCACAAGACCTCCCTGTGCCAAGATCAGGGCAAGGAGGATGTGCGACCCTCCCTCAACTCGGGAAACTGAGTTCCGCGGAAGGTGAGGCAACTCCACCTTCCACTCCGCCAGATTCGGCCGCCTTGCTAGCGGCCTCCTGCACATCTGGGGAGGATGCGAATGTCGCAGGTTCTCATTACACTTACGAGGACTATGATGTCCACTTGGTTCCACCGCTGGACCAACCACTCCACGTGCAACAGTCCACCGCATGCACGGTTTCATCACCATCGGCAACCGATTCGGCAGCTTCGCCACCATCTATCGCCGGGGATTCATCGTCGTGGTCAAGACTTGAGGTGCTCGACCCACTGACGTTCACGAACTTCCAGTGGATGCCCGTTACCCCAACCGAGCGATTGCCGAAACCGCATTGCAATGTGCTCATGGCACAACTGCGGGATTACTTGCACACTGCAGGACCAGCTCCGTTGATGGACGCCGGAGTAGAGGTCGTCGACATTCACGCTTACATTGCGAAGATCGACCGCGAGTTCAAGACGCAACGGTACGACGACATCGACGCACCATTGCTATATGTACGCATTCAGATAGGAGAGGCGACCTGCAATGCCTTGATCGATTGCGGAGCATCTCGCAACTACATCAGCCAAGACTTCATGGTGCGCGCCGGCCTTGGCCCACGCATCCGGAGGAAGTCCCAGCCTACGCAAGTCACGTTGGCGGACGATCACACGCACAAGTCAATCGACCGGTGCATTGACAACGTCCCAGTGTGCTTTGCCCCTCACGCAAGTGAGGCGGTGTCCTTTGACATTCTGAACACCAAATTTGACATGATCTTTGGCATGTCATGGCTGCGAAGCAAGGATCACCTGGTGAACTTCTTCCACCGCACCGTTCACATTCGTGATCGGAACGGAGTACTAGTTTCATGCACGGTGCCTCTTCCTCATCCTTCGATCAGCTGCCACGTGGTATCCGCCGCAAGCATGCGAGCTTCCATCATCAGAGACGACATCGAGGAGATGGGGGTGTGTTYTCTCCACGCCCTCCCGCCCCRWGAYGCTTCATCGACGGACTCACCTTCGGATCCACGCATCACCGARCTTCTTGACGCCTACAGCGACGTGTTCGAAGGCCCGCACGGAGTAGTACCGGATCGACCCATCCGCCACGAGATCATCCTCGAGGACGGGGCCGTACCTCCGCGCGGTTGCATCTACCGAATGAGCGAGGAAGAGTTAAGTGKGCTTCGGGCACAACTCGACGACCTTCTGGAGAAAGGCTGGATTCGGCCTAGCTCATTGCCATACGGTGCTCCTGTTCTCTTCGTCCGGAAGAAGAACAAGGATTTGCGGTTGTGCATCGATTATCGCAAGCTCAACGCGCAGACGATAAAAAACGCCGGCCCTCTCCCACGCATCGACGATCTTCTCGCCAAGTGCGAATTTGCATGATCCATTTGTTGGATCGATACGTACTTATCTACCTCGACGACATCCTAGTGTATAGTCGGAGTTTGGAGGAGCATGTGGAACACCTGCGCACCGTTTTGGAGCGGCTACGACAAGCCAAGCACAAGGCCAACCACGACAAGTGCGAATTTGCACAACAGGAGCTGGAGTACTTGGGACATTATGTGACGCCGCAAGGCATCCGTCCGCTTGCGGACAAGATCGAGGCCCTACGAGTATGGCCCAAGCCCACCAACACCACGGACGTTCATTCATGGGATTGGCGGGCTACTATCAGCGATTCATCACCGGATACTCCAGGATTGTTGCACCTATGACGAGGTTACAATCGCCAAAGGTGTCATTCGTATTCAATGACGACGCACGCCGGTCTTTCCAAGCACTTAAGACGGCTATGCTCATGGCACCCGTCCTTAGCTTCTAGGACCCCACCCTGCCTACGAGAGTGACTACGGACGCTTCCGGCTAYGGCATTGGGGCAGTCTTGGAACAGCACGACGGCGACGACTGGCACCCTATGGAGTATTTCAGCCATAAAGTGCCTCCCATCAACTCGCTTGATGATGCAAGGAAGAAGGAGCTGCTCGCATTCGTCATGGCTCTCAAGCGATGGCGACACTTCCTCCTTGGGCGTTGCAGGTTCACATGGGTTACGGACAACAATCCATTGACCTACTACAAGACGCAGGATACGGTGAGCAGCACGATCGGACGATGGATGTACTTCATCGACCAGTTTGACTTCACACCGAAACATCTTCCCGGCCTCTCAAATCGCGCAGCAGATGCACTCTCGCGAAGACCTGATCTTTGCGCTATGACACATCATGCCTTCGCATTCGACGAGGAGCTTCAGTGACACTTCATCCGGGCATACGAGTCTGATCCGGACTTCGCTACGCTCTATGCACAACTATCTTCGGATCACCCGCCGGCCAGCCACTATCGCATTGCCGACTGGTACTTGCTCCTCCACTCGAGAGGCAAGGACTTACTATGTGTCCCACGCGACCGYCGTCTTCGGACTCGCCTCCTCGGCGAGTATCATGATTCGCGACTCGTCTGCCATTTCGGAGTCAACCGCACTATTGCACGGCTTCGACAGCGATTCCGATGGCCCGATCTCATTACCGATGTCACTCGGTATTGCGACTCTTGCGAAGTTTGTCGACGCAGCAAGCCCCGCAACCGCAATCCCTACGGCGAGTTACGCCCGATGCCTATCCCACGGGAAGCTGGTCTCTCCATTGCCATGGACGTCACCGGTCCGTTTCCCCGCGACCGGCTCAGGCACGACGGCATCCTCACGGTGGTGGACCGATTGAGTAAGTACGCGCGTTTTCTCCCTTGCAAATACTACTCCACGGCTCCCAAGTTGGCACGCCTCTTGCACACTGGTTGGATTTGTGGCCACGGTGTACCAGAAGACATAGTCAGCGACCGCAACACTCGTTTCATGTCAGCATTTTGGACTGCGCTCATGCAGGTGTCCGGCACGACGATGAAACCAAATTCGGCTCTTGTTACATACTCCAATGAGTATGGGCAGAACCAAGGATCAACCAATGTAGGATGAGCATATATGCAACGGAAGTCTGATGAACGGACTGACTCACATAGACTGACTCACATAGCATCACTCCACACACATACAATCGTGAGGTGGTGGGGTCTGAGCCATACATAGAAGATGCTCAGCCCCGTACACACATACACAGATGAATGGGGGAGGAGAGACGAAGAGGTGGGGGGAGGTAGACAGCACCGAAAGTCACCGAGATAGAATCT